CTTAGTGTACGGATTAAAAAAATAAAATAGGCTACAGAAAACATCTGATGTCAGCAGCAATCAAAATCTGAATTTCAAAGTAGCTCCCAGCTCCCTACTGTACTATTTCTGATGACAAAGCCACTTTAAACCAACGTTGAAACAAATGGCATGATTGCAATCGGAAGCCTCTCCACATAGAGGGTGTTCATTTCCAGACTTCCAACACTCAAATATACTACACACATTTTTTATTTCTATGAATTGTTCACTTATAATAGAGCAACATTTTAAAAAAATATATATATATTTTTTTTTAACTGAAATTTAAAACCAAGCGAGTGTTTTATTTGTATGAAAAATCAGCCTAAAGTTAATTTGTCATTTCAAATTTTCAGAATTCAAAATTCTAAATTAGCCCATTCTTTGGGGAGGCAAATGGGTGGGGAGGTGGAAGCACAGCTCTCCATAATACCATGTTTATAAGAAATTTACTTCCACATATTTTCTGATTGTTGTTGTTTTTATCTTTTAATAGTACGCCATGCATGTGTCAATAGAGATCTTTGTTATTGCAGGAGCTGCCCCACTCTGGTCCAGGCACTGCCGGGTCCCAGTACTCAAGTGACAGCAGGCAGCAATCACACCGCTGTCCTACTAATGGATGGACAAGTGTTTACGTTTGGAAGCTTCTCTGTAAGTAAAATCTTTTCTAATGCTATTTTTTTTTTTTCTTGATAGATTTTTACAACTATTAAATTGACATGCTTTTTGTGGACAAACAATATGTGCAAATTAAATTCTGCTGAGATGAACCTCAATTTAAAAGAAATGTTATTTCAGGATTCTCAAAACATGTACATCCATTGCCTTGATGGCATATACTCGTTTCATATGATGATAAAACATGCCAGGCATGCATAGTTTGTAAAATTTATTTGGTCACTGATTGTTACACTGGCGGTAAATGACACGCTAACGAGCAGTGATTTTTATTTTTCTTCTCAAATATCCTTGTACTTGGAAGTGTTAAATGAATATCTGAATAGTGAATTGGTTGTATTTGTGACACAGAATGTTGTTTTTTCCAAAATTACAAAAATGCTGACATAATTTTATGTATTCTGATTGTGGGAAACAAAAAAAAATAATCCAGACTTATGCAGGGAATATTTTCTCTTTTTCTACTATGGTCACTAATTTTCGTGTAGTATATTTATATTTGAAGAGCCAAAGACAGAAGATATTTTTTTTGTTAGTAGTTGGAAAATGTTTTATATATTTGGCTAAAACTATAAATATAATATTCTGTTTAATCCAGTTTTTCCCATAGCAGGAAACGTGGTATGGAAATAGATACATGAAGAAAAAAAATAAAATGGTGTTATTATTGAAATAAACTACTTAATTCATGGTCATGCTATGGTGTCAGAGCCTCTCTTCAGGTCTGTGTCATCGAGTACTGTCTTTTAGCTAGACAACAAGAGCCTTTACTTTTGGACTATCTGTCATGCATAACATGTTTTTCTATATAATGATCCCCTTAATGGATTTTATTTGTTTTATACAGATGGTAGACATTGCATATGTTTAAGCACTATAACAATGCTCTGAACACAGATTTAAAATAACTGTATGGAAAATATTTGCAAATAATCTGGTGCATATTTTTGATCTATTTATTCAAAATCAGAAATATAAAGTGTCAATACTTCAGTTACCCCATCCTGTCTGAGTATTTTTGTATATGTATATATATTTTTTAATAAATCAGTGGTTCTATATCCTAAAGAAAGAGTGGTCACGCCTTATAGATGATTTGAGCAGACTAGTTGGGCCGAATGCCTTTTGCCTGCCGTCACGTTCTATGTTTCTATAGTTGAGACAAAGACCATTTAACTCCTTAAGGACCAAACTTCTGGAATAAAATGGAATCATGACATGTCACACATGTCATGTGTCCTTAAGGGGTTAAACTGTTGTCAGCAGGTACATTATTTGCTAGGCTTTGGTATCCAATATGTGCAAGTGAAACAAAAAATGTCGGAGGTCTTTCTTATGAGAGTGTTTGCAGAGGTAGTGGTTTAAATGCTATGACACTCACTATTATATTTCTATTTTATTGTAGGTATTTTTAACTCTTCTTTTGTTGCTTTTGTTTCAGAAAGGGCAGCTTGGAAGACCCATCTTAGATGTTCCCTATTGGAATGCAAAGCCAGCACCTATGCCAAACATCGGCTCCAAGTATGGACGCAAAGCTACATGGGTTGGTGCAAGTGGAGATCAAACGTTCTTAAGGATAGATGAAGCTCTTATAAACTCCCATGTTTTAGCTACATCAGAAATATTTGCGAGTCGACATATCATAGGCAAGTAATTGTGCGTGTGCATAAAAGCATTTAAATATTAACCAGCATTTGTGAAGATGGCCACTAAATATTTGAGGGCAGGTCTGTAGATGTTGTGGGTAGTGCTGTTATGCACTGAACCTTCAAACATTTTAATGGAAAATACACATTAAATACGGTCACTTCTATGTGTGCAAACAAAGAAAATAGTCCAGAACTATTTTGTTTTTTTTAAAGGGTCAGTTTAAGTCCATGCCATTGTGATAGGTAATGTGCTAAGAAGTTGAGGGCACAGTTACCCCAGTTCTTTGTCGTATTATTTTCAAGAGAATTGAACAAAACCAATAAATCTCCAAGACAACAAAGGCCAAGACCTCGTTCATCTATTGTTAATGTAAAAGTTCCTCTCCTGCATTGGCAGTATCAGTTTCAATTAGCAGTATACATTTTGTCCAAATTTGGATGGCAATGATAGGCCATTTGACCTGCTCAGCCAATGAAAACAATCCAATATTCAAATGTGGGATGTGTAGAATTATCACTGTTTTACAAAAATTCAAAGCGGTCATATCTTATAATAAAAATAGTAATTTTCAAGTAAGGGGGAATTAATAAACTGATCTTAGAAAACCTGGGTTTTAGAGAAGGTGCTTATCTGGTGAAACAATATGAGAAGGAAAATGTGACTTTTGGCAAAATAAAGTAGTGTATACCAATGTGTGCATACAGTTGTTTTGATGTAAAAAATTTGTATCTGTTCATCTTTTGCAGGTATGGTGCCAGCATCCATAACTGAACCACCACCTTTTAAATGTCTACTTATAAATAAAGTGGATGGAAGTTGTGCAACATTTAATGACTCTGAGCAAGAGGATCTGCAAGGATATGGTGTTTGCTTAGATCCAGTCCATGATGTAATTTGGAGGTAATTTTTTTTTAAATTAGATCTGGGCATAGATTAGAAAAGACAAGACTTTAAGAATGGGGAAAAAAACAGATCTACAGTTTTATTGGACTAAATGGGTAATATGGGCTTAACCCAGAAAGAAACATATATTTAAAAAGGACTAATTTTGAGAAAAGGTCCCCGGTTTCAAAAAGAAAGATTACCCATATGGGGGATCCATGCATATGGTATTAAAAACCAAATATAAATTTTTATTGAAACATATTCACACCAAAAAAAGTGACAAAAACCACAAGTGGAAAAAAAATTGTGTGTGGTTTTTTTTTTGTAGAAGTGGACTTCAGAACGTCTGTAGTAAAATATAGAGAATACATAGGAGACATAGATTAACATTAAATCAATAGAGTGAGGTAATTAATTAGTATGATTGAAGGGAACAGGAGGGTAGGAGCCTATAGTAAGTTTCAAACCCCACCTTATCAATCACCCCCAGGTAGCAGCTAAGTCATAGACAAATACTGTGCTGAAAAAAAAAAAATCACAAAGTCAGACTCAAGCATACTACACAAAATCCTCATTCAGATAAAAAAAATAAAAATAAATCACTATAACCCTGATACTAATAACTCCCCATATTGAATTAATGAATCCTGATTATAAGCCAACAGGCATTTAAAGAGTAGTTGCAAAAAGCCGATTCAAAAACGTATGCTAATGACGTTATCTCTAAACATCTTCCTCTAATCTTTTTATTGCGCCGGTATATAGACGAAGTCTTAATTTTGTGGCGAGGGGATCTCGAGGAGTTCAATGGGTTTAACCCCTTAAGTACCTTGAGCGTTCCTCATATGTACGCAGTAAATTTGTACGTTGAAAGCGATCATGATCGCTTCCGGCCGCTCTATGGGTATCACAGAATGCCTCGATATTGAGGCATTGTAGAATACCCCTGCCCCCTCCACACTACCAGGCACCCGAGTGATTACTCCCCCTGCAGCGATCACTTCCGGGTTGCCGCACATGGCTCTCGGCAGTGTAGGCAAGAGCATCGGAAGCCTTCAGGCAGGCTTCCGATGCTCTGCCTGTACGGAGTGCCTCGGGATCAAGGCACTCTGTTAAAATAAAAAGTTTTTTTTTTTAATTTTATTTAAATTAACCCCTACCCTCCCTCTCCCTCCCCATGTACTTAGCGATCGCCGCCTTTCCTCTGCTGGCGATCAGCTCAGCCTAGTGTCGCCCCTTTCCATTTTAGGACCCCCAGGGGTCATGTGACTGCTCTAAAAGAGCGGTCGCATGGCCGCAATAGGTGTCCACAGTGCTGCCAGCAGGGGGACTGCCTGAAGTGACAGGCAGTCCCCCTGCTGGTGAAAAAGTAAAAAAATAAATTATACAATTTATAAATTAACAAATATTTATATTTATATGTATATGTGTGTGTGTGTGTGTATGTATGTATGTGTATATATATAATACACAAGATCCAGCGCACTCACCTATCCACTAAACTGCAACTTCAGTGTTGAAAGATTTTTTTAGTTATTTTTAAAAATACCTAATCTAGGCAAAAATAATGTGGGTTTAGTTACATTATATGATCATACATTGCATAAGCCTGCCACAACGTCAATATAACCCATCTTTGGCAGGTCCTACACTAACAGCCTAATGTCTACTCTTATGAGATTAACCACTTACTTGAGGAAAAAAATTCCATCTGGGGCTCTCTGCAGTACAAGGCTAAATAGGGCCCTGGGATGAGGCACCTGTGACAGGGAGGAGTGCAAAACCAAGGAGTTGGCTAGACTCCCAAATATATATATTTGGGAGTCTAGCCAACTCCTTGGTTTTGCACCCCTAATAAAACTAATAAAATCTTTCAACATTGAAGTTGCTGTTTAGTGGATAGGTGAGTGCGCTGGATCTTGTGTATTGTGTTATTTGGCCCCCAGCAGCACCCCCATTTATGCATGTTTAGGTGAGTGCAGCCAACCTCCCCTTGTTATATATATATGTATATGTATGTATGTATATTTTACCGGAGTACCGGTATTTTTGTGCAATGTTACCAATGATGTGACCAGAGCACCAGGTACTATATATTTGGAGTTGGATGCAAGAGCCTGGGATACATTTTATATATCTGTCTATATTATATATCTCTGTGTCTATATTATATACAGTCAGGTCAATAAATATTGGGACATCGACACAATTCTGTGTGTTATTCCCTCATTATCCCATTTACAAGGAGCAGATAAAAGGTCCAGAGTTCATTTCAAGTGTGCTATTTGCATTTGGAATCTGTTGCTGTCAACTCTCAATATGAGATCCAAATAGCTGTCACTATCAGTGAAGCAAGCCATCATTAGGCTGAAAAAACAAAACAAACCCATCAGAGAGATAGCAAAAACATTAGGTGTAGCCAAATCAACTGTTTGGAACATCCTTAAAAAGAAAGAACGCACCGGTGAGCTCAGCAACACCAAAAGACACGTAAGATCACGGAAAACAACTGTGGTGGATGACCGAAGAATTCTTTCCCTGGTGAAGAAAACACCCTTCACAACAGTTGAACACTCTCCAGGAGGTAGGTGTATGTGTGTCAAAGTCAACAATCAAGAGAAGACTTCACAAGAGTGAATACAGAGGGTTCATCACAAGATGTAAACCATTGGTGAGCCTCAAAAACAGGAAGGCCAGATTAGAGTTTGGCAAACAACATCTATAAAAGCCTTCACAGTTCTGGAACAACATCCTATGGACAGATGAGACCAAGATCAACTTGTACCATAGTTATGGGAAGAGAAAAGTATGGAGAAGGAAAGGAATTGCTCATGATCCAAAGCATACTACCTAATCAGTGAAGCATGGTGGTGGCAGTGTCATGGCGTGCACATGTAGGGCTGCCAATGGAACTGGTTCTCTTGTATTTATTGATGATGTGACTGCTGACAAAAGCAGCAGGATGAATTCTGAAGTGTTTTGGGCAATATTATCTGCTCATATTCAGCCAAATGCTTCAGAACTCATTGGACGGCGCTTCACAGTGCAGATGGACAATGACCCGAAGCATACTGCAAAAGCAACCAAAGAGTTTTTTTAAGGGAAAGAAGTGGAATGTTATGCAATGGCCAAGTCAGTCACGTGGCCTGAATCCGATCGAGCATGCATTTCACTTGATGAAGGGAAAATGCCACAAGAACAAGCAGGAAATGAAGACAGTTGCAGTAGAAGCCTGGCAGAGCATCACCAGGAATGAAACCCAGCATCTGGTGATGTCTATGCGTTCCAGACTTCAGGCTGTAATTGACTGCAAAGGATTTGCAACCATGTATTATTAAAAAGTTAGTTTGATTTATGACTGTTAATCTGTCCCATTCATTTTGGTCCCTTAAAAAGTGGAGGGCACATATACAAACTGTTGTAATTCCTACACCGTTCACCAGATTTGGATGTAAATACCCTCAAATTGAAGCTGAATGTCTGCAGTTAAAGCACATCTTTGTTTCATTTCAAACCCATTGTGTTGGTGTATAGAGCCAAAAAGATTAGAATTGTGTCGATGTCACAATATTTATGGACCTGACTGTATTTATCTTATAGTTTCAGGTAGCTCTTGCACTCCCAGCTTATATAAATAAAAAATACCTGGTGCTCTGGTCGCATAGAAAAATAGAAATACCAATAAATCGTCTTTATTCCATAACCCAGTCAACGTTTCAGTCTGTCACAGCAGACTTTCGTCAGGACATATAAAACACAATCATAACAGTGAATGGCTTTATAGGGAATCAATTTTGTTAGTATTCACTTTTTCGACTGCAGCTGATTCAGTTGATTACCCGGCATGTTCTGGTCCAGTCTCCGCAAGAACTTCTGGGATGCACACTTCACTCAAACTAGATTAGGAGGTTCCTTGGACTCTCTGGACACGTCACTGGGGCAACCGATGGGCACACTTACCCGATTGGCTGCTCCTCGGTGTACAGGCGCTGGCTAGGTCTTCGGTCCTCTGCAGATTGTGTGTTCCAATAGTAACCGGAACCACGCCGGACAAATTGAAAGAACCAATGCAATACAGAATGGAAGCAGCATTGCTCTATAATTACATTCTATTCACATTTATGTATGTCCCCCATTCAGTGTATAGGGAATAATGATAGATATATAGAGATATAGATATAGAGATATATATCTATATAGATATAGAGATATATATCTATATAGATATAGAGATATATATATATATGTATGTATGTGTATAAATATCATCTATATTATATATAACGTCATACGAAGTGTATTTTTTATTAATATATACATATATTAATGTAAAATTACACGTGTATCTAATTATAAAAATAAATAAAAGTAAACTGTAAAAATTATTTGTAAAAAAATTATGTAATTTTATTCTACCTGTATTTTGATATTAATATATATTTATATCAATAAATAATAACATTGCCGCAATAGGACTCTAGGAGCTGCCAGCAGGGGGACTGTCTGAGCTGTCAGGCAGTCCCCCAGGCTGCTAAAAAGTAAAAAATATAATAAAATACATATTATACATATACAGGTGGTCCTCATTTAGCGACCTACCTGTTTTTATAAAGCGCTGTCGTGGGGATTCCCTTCTCTGGTGCGCATGTCTATGTTTGGGGAAGCTTCCCCGAACTTAGATGAACGCATCAGAGCAGGGAATCCCTTAACTCAGGCTTCCTCAAGCTCTGGCCCTCTAGATGTTGCTGAACTACAACTCACATGATTCTATGAAGGAAATAGGCTGAGAATCATGGGAGTTGTAGTTCAGCATCATCTGGAGGGACAAAGGGAAGCCTGCCTTAACTTAACGTAGGAACAGAACCCGGTCGGTAAGGGAGGAGTGTCTATATTATATTATATTATATATATATATATATATTAAAATAATTAAAATATTTTATAATATATTATAATGAAATCATATATGTATAAGTGTACATACATGTGTATATATATATATGTGTGTGTGTGTGTATATATATATAAAAATAATTAAAATATTTTATAATATATTATAATGAAATCATATATGTATAAGTGTACATACATGTATATGTATATATATGTATGTGTGTGTGTATATATATATATATATATATATATATATATATATGTATATATATATGTATATGTGTGTAATGTATTATAAAATGCTTTAATTATATCATTCATATATAGGAAATAAAAGGGGGGAGTGGTTTGTAAATAGCAAAGTGCTACTTGTACTTATTGCACTATAACTTTACAAAAAAAGCTAAGAACATGTTAACATTGGGTATTTCTAAACTCAGGACAAAATTTAGAAACAATTTTTTGGCGGTTGTAAATGCGTAAGATTTTGGGGGTCAAAGTTAGAAAAGGTGTGTGTTTTTTTTTTTTTTTTTTATCCTATTTTATAAATCTCTTTTTTTTTATAGTAAATTATAATATGCTGAAAATAATGGTATCTTTAGAAAGAGACAGGAAATATTTACCTTATTTACAGGAAAGTGGATGAGGTAAAAACTGGAAAAATGTAATCCATATCCTGAGGTAAATGGGATCACAGTCCACTCTGCATGCATCAATACATACACAAACCACATATATCCCCCGTGCAAGTGAAATATACTAGCAGTGTAAGGCTACTCCTCTACCTAGTATAGATAATGGATAACCATTGGATTATCCAGACAGGTGCTTAAAATATTAATATACCAGCTTTATTAATTAGGCTTATTTGTAGCACTTTTGATAACCCTTTGTAGGTAAGTAGTGCACTGGAAAATCAGTGTACCAAGGCAGACAAGGCAAATCATAGTATTAGTGTTAAAAACAGGGATTAACTAGAGGTTAAACCATAGTTCTGGCTGTATAAAGCAGCATGTTAATAGTACCTTTGTTAGCCCTTGGTAGGTAAATAGTGCTCTAAAAAAGTATACCAGTGTACCCAGGTAGACAAGAGGTTAAACCATGGTCTTAGTGTTAAAGGGACACTCCAGGCACCCAGACCACTTCTGCCCATTGGAGTGGTCTGGGTGCCAGCTCCCACTACCCTTAACCCTGCAGGTGTAATTTTTGCAGTTTTTATAAACTGCAATAATTACCTTGCAGGGTTTGATTTAGATCAAAGAAAACTTTGATTATTTGTCTATCTACTCCTTCCAAATTGATTTATTAATGCGTGCATGCTCTTCCTAGAAGTAATTCACACCGGAGACAAAGTTTCTGATCAGTGAAAAACCTGAGGAATGCTTTATTCCACGGAGTGGGAGCCCCTTTTAAAGCAGAAATACGTCATATACAGAGTCACAGTTAACATACAGTATTCATTCAACAATTGGTTAGCAGTCTAAGGGGTCTTGTCTAAACCCCCCCCCTACAGGATGTAGTGTTGTCATTACAGAGTTCTCCCACCCATTTTTCGGCTCCATCTTGGTTACATGTGGCACATAGCTGTTAATTTGCACAAAGGAAGTGGGGTAGGAGTTTAATAAAGGAAGCTGTTCTTTTAACACAGGAATTTGTTACACGAGGCTTGCTCGATGGGAAGGGGGGAGGCTAGCAGGATGGGAGGAATTTGCAGAGAAAATAGTGACTGAACACATTGTAGGGCGGAGGGAATATTTACTCTAGCAGCCAGTTTTAACATAGTGAACACAGAATAAATAGACATTAGTAAATAGCCATTTTATTTTAATTCTTCTGTCCATAACAGGTTAACTCCTCCTCTAGTGACTGTCTATTAGTAAGTGACCTGAAGGGGTTTTTACCCTTTCAGCTACCGGGGGATTGGTGGTGGGAGGGAGAGGGGACCTGCAGTGCCAGGAAAACA